CGCGAAATGAAATCTAAGTGAAATGGTTAATCTATTATTGAAATGACCAGTAAACTTATCATCAGTTTCAATATGAAAAACCTACAATAATGCAAACATTTCAAAATAAAATAAAAAAAAACTAACCCTCGGAGGTTGATTTTCCATTTCTGAATATTGTGAGGGATTTCTGACCGTGAATGGTTGTGAGGGATTTCGCCGGAGATGGGATGGAAATCTTCGGAGATGGGGACGGATTTCTTCGCCGTAGAGAGTGAGAGATGGAGATGGGACTGAGTTGTGATTTTAGGTTTTAGGTTATGAGTTGCGATTACGGGATTTTGTCTTAATATTCTTTTTGTAATTTGAAAATAAAATACGCGTAGCGATTATAATGGCGCTTTAAATATCGCGTTGCGATTTACGGATACGCGTTGCGATTTTATGTATTATCGTTGCGATTTACGGATACGCGTTGCGATATACGGATACGCATTGCGATTTACCCATACGCGTTGCGATTTACGGATACACGTTGCGATTTACGGATACGCGTTGCGATTTATGTGTTCGCGTTGCGATTTTCATATTCGCGTTGCGATTATGGAAAATCGCAATGCGAATTTGTACTATCGCATCGCGATTTTCAAGAATCGCGTTGCGATTTTGGAAACTGATTTGCGATTCTGGAAACTGATTTGCGATTCTGGGGATCGCGTTGCGATTTTTATTTCGCGTTGCGATTTTGTTGGTCATTTTGGCAAATCCAAAAAAAGTTGGTTAAAATCGTATATTATAATTTTTTTTTAGTCACTGAGGCGATTTTCTCTTTTCAAAAAGGGAAAAGGAAATAGAAAGGCCAAAGTGGCAGCTATTGGACAAATTCTTAAGGTCCTCTCTATACACTACACAAATAAATAAAAAGTGGGGTAGGTATAGTTCTCACCCTCTTAGCCATAATCGGGGGGACACACTAAAAAAAACAGTTAATACGGCGTCGTTTAATGCTATAGATTTATAACCTAGCTAATCTAGATGACAATTTTGGTTTTGGTCACAAGAAATTAGGTCCACTACAAATAACTATCTGAATTCTTTTGGGAAAAGGGTTGTTGAGGGGTTGAATACGAGTTTAATGCTAATCGGCTACTCATTTTAACGTAAACTTTCAATTCACATCTAATCTCGAATTCAAATTCTGGGCAACTATCCCTCTCCTATACTGTGCCATATAGCTGGAAGAAAACCCTAAAGGCCGCACAATGAGACGCTCATTATTAATATCTGTTCTGAGCTTGAAACTGATGGCACAACCTGCTGCAAATTATTCTTTCTCTGTGGAGCATTAATTAGGCAACAAAATGTTTAGGTGGTCCATCTGCTCTTGCACTTTATTTAATCCCTCGTTTCGACCATCCAAAGCAACTATCCACATGGAAATGGACTGACCTTGCCTGTGGTATGCACCCACTGTTTTCTAATCTATGTTTTTCTTCATAATATCTCGTTTAGGTTTTTGATCTAGATTACTCGACCAATGAATTAAATACGAATAATTATGTCAAAAAGAAGTTAACATCAATAATTAACCCTAGTAATAATATGGCCCCTAATGATATTACCTACTTATTTTCGACTTTAAATGTACATTGTTGGCTTTTCACCTTCTTGTTGTTTTGTCATAAATGAAGCTTTCGTATATGCAGATTCATGAATCAACTATTTGATAAAACAATGTATACTTTTTTGCATTATAGCATCCATATTTGTTTCGCCATTAATATTTGATTCTAAATTATGTAGACTACCATCTACAAAGGACATCAAGTCATATATAAATACAATTATGTCCCCCAAGAAATCATCTAATTATTTCTTAGGTTCCTGTTAATTTCAGAATCATGTAAATCAAATCTCACTCTTCATTTCTTTTCATTTAAATACTTCTTCGGTCGTTGATAATATTGAAATAGATTAAACTTGAACCACGCTACTTTGATTTATATATGGTTTTGGCCCTTTCAATTCTGGAATTAAACAAATTAGACTCAATCCCTCATATTTTAAATTGATAATTTAATAATTAAAGTTTGACCCTTAATTTACTATGATATATTTATCCCTAATATTTCATCCTGATATACGCTAGTAAAATTGAAAACTCGACGATGATTTTATCGGTATACAGAAAAATGCTGAGCTAAAAAATATATATCAAATACTAGTGGATATATAAATTATGCAATTGAGACATGATTTTATTTTTTATTTCACTGCTTGCGTATAAAATATTAGATAATTTATACGAGCGATTTTAGTGGACAGAGATATAATTATTATCTCTAAAAGTTCTAGGTTCGAGCACCAGCGAATGCAAGGTATTGGAGCATTCATTGTCAAATGGTTGAGAGTATTTATAACAGATACTACCACGTATAATCATCTTATAGTAACAAAAAATAGATAACCTATATTTTTATCGTTTAATTATAAGAAATTTTAATCTGATCGTCAATCTTTTAATTTAGTAATCAGACCACTTAATTATTTAAATAATACTAATTCATCTATATTTTGTTAGACAGAGGAGTCAATATAGTGCTTGACAAAATTAATACAATTATACATTTAATTTCATTGTTTACAAATTTTATCAATTTGATCTTGAATTTAAACATAATACCAAAAACAGCTCCTAATGTATATCAAAATGATCATTTTGACCATTATTTTTCTAGAACATTTTAACCCCTAGCATTTCACTTTGAAAGAGAGTTTATGGTTTTCACCTTTTACCCCTACACCCTTAGACCAATGATCTTTTACCCTACATCCGACAACTATCCAAAAACTAACTTCTCGTATTCAAAAAATGATGACGAACAATCATTGACCTGACTTTTCACCTTCTTGTTGGTTTTCCATAAGAAGAGCGGAAGCATTTTGTATCAAGCAAGCCAGATCAATGATTGTTCTATCATCATTTTTCGAAATGAGAAGTTAGTTTTTGGATAGTTGCCGAGTGTAGGGGTAAAAGGTCACAGGTTTAAGGGAGTTTGCGGTGGTGTTGATCATACGCGTGAATGCTGTGTGAGTTTCAGGTTTGGTACACTACTGAATTGGTTATCTAGCAGTGATGAGTAGAGTGTTGATTATGGTGCTGTAACAGTTTGTTTAAGTTGTTTTGGTGTACTTTTTTTTCTCCAATTAAGATTAGAGAGTTTTTTAACGAGGCCTCAATCTAAGTCGTATGTTTGTGTATGTTTGCTGTTGAAAAAAAACATACAAAACACTCATTTTTTTAAAAAAAAAGGCTCTCCCTATAGATGAAAAAAATTAGTTAACACATGATTAATTCTCCAAAATATGAGCCTTTTTTAAATTAAAATGAAACATTGAGGGCTAAAATGCCCAAGAAAAAAAATAAGGGACAAAGTAATTATTTTATCAATGTTAGAGACCTTTTACCCTAAAATGAAAAGTTGAGGTTAAAATGCTCCAAAAAAATAGGGGGTAAAATTACCATTTTGGTAAATATTGGGGGCTAATTTTGATATTATACCTTTAATTTAATCCTAAAATTTAATCTCTCATCATTATTTTGATTAATCTACGGTGATTATAAGTGATAATATATGTTTTAAAAAAATTTAATCATTTGACAATAAACGTTCAAATATTGAACAATCATTAGTGTTCTAAGAACCTATTAAGAGTAACAATTATCTTTTAACTACTGAAATCACTTGGTTTGTACTCATTGTTTAAATGTTACCGTCAAATATCAATTTAATCCTTATAATTTTTTTTGACAAAATTAAATCCTTAAAATTAAGTATTCACATATGTATAAAATAATTGTCATATATAAGAAAAGTAAGATTTGAAACATTAATTATTTCCTTTAAGAGAAAAGAAGTAATTTAATTTCAGAAAATAGACCGGTCCACTAAATCTTAATGGTTTTTCTTGTATCCTTAAAAAAATGACTTTTCTTGTAACCAAAAAAAAAAAAGTCATTTCTTACAACTATATCACACCTACCGTACAGAAAAAAGAATTCAACAAATTAGTTACTTTTTGGTCCCCCTTTTATAAAACACACATCGCCATCAAAATCTTCTACTGGATAATGGGGACCAAATAAAATAAAATCAAAAATATATTTTTTAAATATATATTAATATATAAAAATACAAATGAAATTGCATGTTGAAACAAATGGACACACCGTTTTTATAGGCACAAATCAATGTCCTGTCTTTAAGATGTGTCTCCGAGTTCCGGTCCGGAACATATTTACTCTTTTTCTTTCTATCTTTTGATATATTTTTTTCATATAATCTTCGATATTAGATTATAATCTTTCGCATTCTTTAGATTTATTAAATTTAATCATTTTATATTAACATTTTATCCGAAAAAACTTTTAAATTTGATTTTTATCATATATATAGCTTGTGTGATTTTTACTCCATATTGTATTGAGGTTTTTCTATTATATAAATTATATCGATTTTATTTTTGTTGATTATAATAATACTTATTCGAATATGATATATAACTTCATTATTATATAAATAACATTTCACTCGAATTTATCTAAAAAGATAATTATAATAAAAATATATAATACAATCAATAAAAACATAAGAGTTGAACTTGACATGACATAGATAATATTATTATGTGATATGTTATTATCAACTATTTTACTGGGATACCTAGAGTGAAATTAAACCATTCTTCATCTCTTTCTCTTACTGTTTTGACTGGGATTCTTTCATTTTTTTTACGACTGTCATTTTCTTCTAAAAGATAGAGCAAATGTATTGAGAAAACATGTGAAGTGAGGTGGCAAACAAACAACGAGAGAGATCTACGAAGGTGTTTTAATGATGGGAACGGTTCAGTTTTACTTTTTGGGATTTATCATATGAATGTAGTTCTTTTCTTAGCTTATTTTCTCTTTTTCGTGACGTTGAAATCATGGGGTTTTAGCTTCAGCTCCTTCGTCCCCCCCCCCCCAAATCAAAAGCTATGATTTTTGAGGGATTTAAAACTTGAAACTCGTGTTCTTTGCATGTTTCAAGCTCTGGGTTTTTTGCCTTCAATCTCATGCATTTGGTGTTAGATCCTGTCAGTACAAAAGAACTCCTTTTCAAGCTTGAATTTATTTGTTTTCAAGTTTTGCATGCTTTCTGTTTGAAGAAAGATCCGTGAGAGCTTCAGGTACGGTGTGGTTTAGCTTCGAACACATTTTAATTTCTGTTGAATAATTTAAGGGGGGAATGCGTGTGATTTTGGCGCGTTTTGTGTAGTCATAACTGATTAGATAGAGATTTGGGGTTTGCTAGATTTAATGAGTTCGATATGTTTTTGAGATTCTGGTTCCAAAAAATGGGAATCATAAATGCTTTTGAATCATGATCAGAGCTGTTAGTATAGATAGAGTACTAAAGGAGGAGGATAGTGATATTAGTGATCATCTACGGAATCATATTCATTTAACTAATTGTATTCACTTGAAGAACCATATGCATAAGCTTAGCCCTTTAATGTCTGACCGATCGCTCGTGAGGGACCTTATGGTTCTTCAACGCTCCCGGTCACTCAGGGATCCTTCTGCTAGTCCCCCTTGTTGCCATTTGCCTTCTGTTGCTGATTTTCTTTCGAAGAAGGATGGTTTTCGGGAGGGGAGAAGGTCTGTCAGTGTCGAGAGGCCGAGGAATGGGAGGAGGCGTTCGATAAGTTCACCGGTTTTAGCTAATTTTCAGACTTCGAAAGTTGCTCCGGGCGGAGAAGGTAGTGTTAGTGACCGTAGTAGTAAGAGTGGGGATAGAGATAGTAGAAGAATTAGGACTGCTATCTCGGGCGAAAATAATGAGCCTGCACCAGAGCAAGATGGTAAGTTTTTGTCTCCTGATGGGAGTAAAAACCGAAAGGGGAAGCAAACACAAGGGATTCGAACGAAGACTTTATCCGAGCAATTGAATGACCTCTCCTTGGATAGTGATGATGTAGCATCTTCCAATGTCCAGGTTTGTGGAAGGCATGAGAAACATCCTGGTGAGGAACGTGAAGTCAGCGTTCGTGGCTATTCAAGTGGGTTAAACAGGGTGCACAGACGCAAGTTTCAAAGGGCAAGAAGATCTCGGGCTGTTCCTCGAGAGGTTGGAGGTTGGAATGAGTTGTCTGTGGATTCTAATTCATTTGGTAAAAGTTCGACGCATCCCAAGTATGATACAGAAGATGAAGAAAACGTATATGATGCGCGAGATGTAACGAGGGCACCTAGAAATGGATGTGGGATCCCTTTAAATTGGTCGAGAATTCATCACAGGGGTAAAACTTTCCTTGACATTGCAGGAAGGAGTTTTTCCTGTGGTTTATCGGACTGTAGATTACGTAAACGTGGTGAAGGTTTCCATGGAAGAAATGCTCCAGAAATACCTGTGGAATCCGATCAGTCGAGCTCATCCACGAAATTCAACACAGAGGCACTGCCTCTTCTAATTGAGGCATCTGGATCTCAGAACAGCACAGACAAGGCTCGTTGGATGAATGACTATTCAGGAGAGTTAGGAATATTTTCCGATAATTTATTGAAGCGCAATGTTGATTCCGACCTTGTTTCCGAAGATAGATCCAGTGACCAAAGCAAGTTAGTTGGGAACCACCAGGGTAGGCACCAAAGTATCACACAAAAGTACATGCCAAGAACTTTTAGAGACCTTGTCGGACAAAATTTGGTATCACAAGCCCTTTCGAATGCCGTTACGAAACAGAAGGTCGGATTGATATATGTCTTCTATGGACCTCATGGAACAGGAAAATCTTCTTGTAGTTGGATATTTGCTCGAGCTTTGAATTGTCAGTCACTTGAACATCCCAAACCTTGCGGCTTTTGTGATTCTTGTATTTCAACTGACATGGGGAAGAATCGAAATATAAGGGAGGTTGGACCAGTCGGTAACTTTGACTTCGAGAGTATCATGGACCTTCTTGATAATATGAACATATCCAAGCTGCCTTCACAGTACCGAGTTTTCATATTTGATGACTGTGATACTTTATCCCCGGATTGTTGGAGTGCCATATCAAAGGTCATTGATCGATCTCCGAGGCGTGTGGTCCTTATTCTTGTATGTCCGAATCTTGATATTTTGCCTCATATAATCATGTCGAGGTGCCAGAAATTCTTTTTCCAGAAACTGAAGGATGCAGATATCATTTATACCCTGCAGTGGATTGCATCCAGAGAGAACATTGAAATCGAGAAAGATGCGCTTAAACTAATCACATCTCGATCTGACGGATCACTAAGGGATGCAGAGATGACACTTGAGCAGCTGAGTTTGCTTGGGCAAAAAATCTCTGTTCAGTTGGTTCAAGAACTGGTATGTTTTCGTAACCGAATTCGAATATCGCTATAATGAGGCAAAATAACGAAAGGAGCTAAGCATTTAAGTTGATTAGCTGATATTTCTATAATTGCTCTAAACTTTACGGATCTGATTCACAGGTTGGGCTTATCTCCGATGAAAAGCTCGTGGATCTTCTAGATCTAGCATTATCTGCAGACACGGTAAACACTGTAAAGAGTTTGAGGCTGATAATCGAAACTGGTGTGGAGCCTTTAGCTTTGATGTCACAGCTTGCTACTGTGATAACCGATATTCTTGCTAGCAGTTACGAGTTCACTAAAGGAAGGCATCGAAGGAAGTTCTTCCGAAGACAACCATGTGAGTCTTAAACGAGTACATTTCATATTATGTTTACATTTATATTAAGTAATTGCCTAAACCACCCGTTTCCTGTCGTGCTCCGGTAATAACTGTCTATCTGCTCCAGTGTCGAAAGAAGATATGGAGAAACTACGCCAAGCTTTGAAAACGTTATCTGAAGCGGAAAAACAGTTGAGGCTATCAAATGACAAACTAACATGGTTAACTGCCGCCTTGCTTCAGCTTGGTCCCAGTCAGCAATATATATTGCCAATTTCTTCCGCTGACACTAGCTCTCGTCATAGTCCGTTGCCTCAAAGTGATGCGGGTGGAACAGATATTCCCCGGGAACGTGGTGAGCTTGTTATGCAGCATGATAACACTAGAGGCTTGTCAATGAATGCCAGGTCGGAAAATCTCCCTGCTGGAAGTCCAGAGGAATTCAAAGCTGATACCATGAATGGCAGGCAGAAATTAGTCAAAAACCGTAAGAGAATCGAAGAAATCTGGTTGGAGGTGCTCGAGAATATTCAAGTTAATAGTCTAAAAGAGTTTTTGTTTAAAGAAGGAAAGCTGATATCGGTCAGCTTCGGTTTAGGTATGTCCTAGTGCGCATATTCTCGTTTTTGCATTATATCATAAGACTGATGCAGCATACATTTAGACTAGAAATGGTATCGTTTTTCGAATATTTCTTTTTGTCAGTGTCATTTTAGCTGACAAAATTAGAAATGGTATGATAATTTTACTCGATACAGTCAATAATGATATACTTTCTTTATGCTCGGTAATTATCGGAATCTCCTTCACCCTTTTGATTGACGTTTCTGTTTTTCCAGCCCCAACTGTACAGCTAATGTTCAGTTCGCATATGACCAGATCTAAAGCCGATGTATTTAGGGGGCATATTTCACAGGCATTCGAATCTGTTGTCGGTTCTCCCCTGACAATTGAAATTAGATGTGAAACAAACAAAGACGCCGCCCCAGCTGGCTTTCGTGGACTTCTCGTCTTACCATCTTCCAGGGATGGTCCATCTCCGGTGGTCATGAATCCGGAGTCCAATTCTCGAAATAGGATGCACGAGGTTGGTTCTGATGATACTAACAAAAGAGTTATGGGAGATAGAGATTCAGGAGTGCATGCGATATCTCCCGAAGCAGGAAGGGGTGGAATTGTCGAAATAGCAACTCCCCCAAGACAAGCCAATGACAATGAACATGATGATGAGGTAAAATCTAACATAAGAGGATCAAAGGTGGCTGACGCTGCAGCTTATCGGAAACCACCATTGGCATGCACCTCAGAGAGACAAAAACCCGGGGAACTAACTCCGAGTCAGAGCATTGTTAGAAGAAAAGTGCCCCTTGCACAGGTAATTCATCACGGAGAAGGATCTACACAGCTGAATGGGCGGCCGGAGCGCAAAGTGGTTTCCATTGCTGAAAAGCTCGAACAAGAGAACCTGTATGTATATCTGTTGCCATTCATTGTCTGCTATACTGTTATTTCGTATTGTTGATAACCTTCCATACAGGAACCTATGCAAATTCATATCTTTATATTTCAGGAAACTTGAACCAAGATCAAGAAGCTTGCTTTGCCTGAAAGCATCTCGAGTAACTCATCGGAAGGTATCTTATATCTAATCTTCTGAAGTTCGCATTATTCCAATGAACTATCGATTGTTCCAATCTTCTTAACTTCTTATTACGGTTTTAACATCGCTCGGTTATCTTTACAGCTCTCCCGCTTGAAGATAGGAACCCGAGGACCACATTCATTATTGAAGCTCGTCTCTTGCGGACATTGTCTTTCTTCTCCGACGATTTCAAACGGTCAGTGCACGAGTTAACTGAATTAGTATTACATTTGTAATTAGCTATTTTTCTCGCCATTTACGAGCCGTAAAATCGTTTTCCTCGAATAAATGTTCAACTTCTTTGGAATGAGAAAATGCAGGCAGGGAACTAATTGATATTCTAGCCATAGTTTTATTGAGATATCATGTTCATGCAATCATCAATCTTGTTGGGCTGTTAGGAGCGCCGGATGCGTGTTATTCTGATGTATAACATATTCATATATTTTTGTTATTTCGCAAATGCAAAATGGCAACAAATAAAAAGATCACTGTATTGAAGCCTAAAATGAAATAGGCATATGAATAACTATAGCTGTATAGTACCTAAAGCTATGGCCGTACTCTATATTTTCACATCAATCTATGATACTTATGTATAATACATCTGAAATCCGGGCAAGAAAGTATTAGTGTCTGACACGTGTATTCGACATATAAGAACACAAACACACAAAACATCATACTCGTATCCTATAGTCGTAACCGAGTCCAAAACATCGAGGCATATCAAGTACTCTCAGCAGGAGTAAGATGCCCCATCTGTTCTGTAAGGCTATTGACGTTCTTCATGTTCCACCAAAATCTGCCGTGATTGGAATCTTTTCCTTCAGACTGACCATCCCGAGTATCGGTTGAACCTGGATGTTCGGTCAAAAATTGTTCCCAGAATACATCATTAACCCCAGCCGGTGCAGGTTGTTCCTTTGCTGTAAGAGGCTCAGAGGCAACCGCAGTTGCGGGCTCGGAGTTCATGTCAATTGGAGAGGATGTTACTAGAGCATCGATGTTAAGTTGCCTGCAAGTTATGGATGGGCTTTCCAGACAACTTGTTAATTCATCCAGGTTCAAACTAAGTTGAATGTTAGTTCGATCGAAATTGTGCACAGCATTCTCCCAAAACACCATGGATGAGTCTAATTGTTCAAGTGGCTGCTCAATGTGGAACAATGATGTGTTATCTGGATTTTCTCCTGTGGTAAGGGAATTTCCTGTCGGATTGTCTTCAACCTCAGATTCATCGTATAAGTAAGCAATGCTTGGAAGTCTTCTCTTTCTGTCATTATCCTCGAATTTTAGAGTTGGACCAATGGGAAACCCTGGTTTCTGCAAGGCTCGAGCCACAGAAGACACCATTACATGCTGCCGCCGCTCCATAGTTCGCATACGCTCCCTCAAAACCCGCATTTGCATCTTGAATCCTTGCCGCTCCTGCTCATGCCTCTCTAACTCTAAAATGAGCGAATTCTTTTCATTCTTAAGTCTCTCGATCTCATCCCTCAAACTCTGTCTCTCTGAATCTGTTATCGGAGAAGCTCCTTGACCTAGAAGATTCTGCATCGAATGGCTATGAACCGGTTTCCTTCTATGTATGTTCTTCAAAAGATTAGGCTGACCTCTTATAAAATCCTCGTTTGCAAACTCCCACTGATCGGGATCGATTTTCCTGAAACCCTGTCGAAATATGGAAACAAATTCAATTCAAGACGCAGCAATAAGCAAACAGGAAAGGTAAACATATGAAAAAGTTGATCAATGCTCACATATGTATTAAGTTGTCTGATAAAGCTAGAAAAGTTGTTGTGCTTGAAGAATCTCGGAAGCAAATCCCTCGCGAATTCCAGCGGATTCCACACAACAAAACTTCTATTACTTGCACTCCAAGACACGATAGAATCCGTCGAACGATCATCCACCATCTCATACGTCTTCGTAAGGAACGGAGGGAGAGAACTCGAGCTACTCGGAGCATCATCCATACTGAAAAATTCCTCTATATGTACACCTAAAACACCCTAACCTCAATCCCCAGCAAGCACATATCAACCAACCCCAATAATCCACCTGAAACTCGAACTCGGATACCTTAACAGACTAATTTCCTCACTCGAAACATCGACCTCAATCATAAGAACAAACCATTGAAGATCTAATAACTAGCAGCCACTAATTCACCCGAAACACAAGCTCGTTAAGAGACTAATTTCCTCACTCGAAAATCGACCTCAATCATAAGAACAAACCATTGAAGATCAAATAACTAGCCACCCCTAATTCAGGACTGAACTTCCCAAAGACTACAAGTTTCAATCTAGCTAGCTAAAAAATCCCTAAAAACTCAATCAAAATCCCATATTTCTCCTCTAAATTTCAATGAAAGCAAAAACCCTTTTGTCTTCCAATTGTTTCCGGAAACTGTGTTGCATTGAAATCGAGGCCAAACATTAAAAACTATAAAAATGAAAAGAAAATGAACTCCTTGATTCTTTTTACGAGCTGGAAACTATCAATTCTAGAACCATAACTGTAACTTTCTTGATTTTCCCAGAAAACAAATGGAAATGGAAAATTTGAAGCAAAAACAACAACAGAAATATGAAAATTGATGAAATGATTCAAAAGCAGTAGTTGAGTTATTGTTTTACCTCAGAGAGGCAGAGACTACGATATATATATATATATATAAGAAAACAATAAGAATTTTCAGAGAACAGGATGAAGATGATGATGACCCACAATTCGAAACCGATAAAATAATTTTATTTTTTTGGAAATTTGACGCTTTTTTTTAAATAACTCCTTTTTTCTCTCAAAATTATGGTTCGAGAATATTTCGGGGTTTCTTGGAACCGCGTAGGAGTAGAAAAAGTTGGAGATTTTCTACGATTCTGTAGTATACTTTTCGGTGTAGAATATATCGAAAATTTACATTAGTTTATGATTTTATCCCTCTTAGCTCTAACATGTTAAACTTAAAATTTAATATCTTTAATCGTATGTAATTAATAATAATTTTATATATTAACACTCAAATAAATACTCAAAATTAGTTTCTTTAAATAAAAAATTACACCATTATTGAAAACCATCGGTAATGTTATCAATTTAGACACACATAATATTAAAGAAATTGAACAAGTATATTTGACTAATTAATCAAGTTATTCATCTTTGCTATACCATATTTTTATGGGTAAGTATTAGGAGTATTCTCCTTACTTTCCTTAAGGTGCTCCCTTCCTCTTCCACCTTAGGTAGAATTAGAATTATCTAGAATTTGTCAAAAAATTAAAAATTATTTTATTTTATTATTAAAATTAAGTAATTAAATTTTAATTTTAATATGTAAAATGATTAAAATCATAATTGATAATTAAACATCAAATTATTAAATTGTGTAAATTGATTCTATATTATTGGAGATGATAACGAGATGAATTGGATCATGTTCTTAGTTAATATGATCCAAGAGTATATTTTGAACTTAACTCTATTCGAGTGTACGGAAATTTCATCTAATTTGAAACCCATACTTGATTTTAAAGTGAAAACTCGTTTCACACTGACTCAAATATGAAAAGTTGTTCTTTTTTGGACAAAATACGAGTATACTTAAAAAAAACTATAATAAGTGATATTATATTAATTATCTCTAAACATGTAAACAAATTTATATCAAATTGAGTAAAATAATGTCCTAAACTCAAAATCGATCACATTCAACCTTATCTTTTACAAAATTTGACACAATACAAACTTATTTAAGAAAAAACTCAATGTTATAATTAAGTTAAAATTTAGTGGGATGAGGCACTAGGTCCCTTAAGTAAGGTCAATGATTCGAATCCTGACGTTTGCGAATGGAGCAAGCTGGATTTGTAGGGTCGCCCTCGTCTCTGCAGTACCCGATCTGGATTAGTCGATCAATAGATCGAATACCAATGATTAATTCAAAAAAATCTATTAATTTCGGAGTCGAATTAACATCCTTGTATATAACTAGCATAATCAATAATGGTATTATAAATTTGAACAAAAAAAATACATTTAAGGGTATATAAAAATAATATAAATTTTAGACTAAAATAATGACGTGGGCGTTGACTGGAAGAGTAATTTGTTTCAATAGAGAGAGAAAGATATGACTTGAGACAATGACATGTAAACATAAGAATTCTGTCTTAATGTTGGGTTGATGACATGGGTGCTTAGGTGAGAAAACCTCTAGAAATTTTAGAAAAAGAAAAGTTAAATTTATTTTATTTTTGGATTAGTGTCTTAACTAATTTTTATTTGATTTTTAATTAGTTTGTTTTAACACATAATTTATTATTAGTCGCAACTTGATATTTCTGAATTTTTTTTTAAATAATGTAGTTCAAGTGATAATATATGAATAATTATATTATAATATTTAATTTACTAAATATTACAAAAGTAATTGTAAGAAAATATAATAACTATCCCGATAATTAGATTAAAACTTTATTAAAATGTTTAAAATTTCGAAAACAATATTTTTAGTAGTTAATAAAATAAATGCAACGTTGAAGTTATCGTGTTCTCGAACTGAGTCTGATTAAATTGCATTTAACATTTAAAGCGAATTTTCCACTTGAGATTTTATTAATACCGGGTTTAATTAATTCTTACAATTTCTCATTCCAAATCTAATCATCATCGTATACGTCATATTCATACGGTACGATACAATAATGTCGAAATTAAGCTAGGATCATTTTGTCCTTGTTTTTAAAATATTTTAATTCATAATGTTTTATTGTTAGGGTAAAAATGTCTCATCTGAATAGGAGTAGTTATTTAACAAATTATTAACATTTCAAAATATGAGTTTTTATTTTAAAATAAAATGTTGGGATACCTAGTGACGAAACTTGGTAATAAAATTCATGGGATAGAATTTTAAATTAAAATTTTCAAAAATTTTGAAGGGTTCACTTTACATTTTCTAAAAAATTTAGGGTATAATTATAATTTTTGAAATTTTGAGAGACTTAATGAGAATTTTTAAAAATTATGGGAGGGATTTAATTAAGAATATTAAAAAATTAAAAATAATATAGATTTCTAAAAATTTGGGAACCAAATTAAATATTTTTATTTTAAAGGTCTAAACTTTAATTTTTCAAATTTTTGGGGCATGACCCTACTAGTCTCTATTACCTACCAAAATGCACCAAAAAGAATAAAAGTACACATGATTATTCAATCAAACGTTAAGTGTATTTTTATTTTAAAATAAAATGTTAAGGGTCAAGATGATCTCAACAAAATGAAGATCGAAAGTAAAATTTTAATAAATGCTGGAAGTTAATTTTGATCTTATTTTAAGATATATTTAATTAAAATTAACTTATATATCATGCAATGAATTTATGGATAAATTATATGTTTAATATTTAAATTATTATTTTAAATTTTTTTTTAAAAAATATATTTAATGTTATATTTTAGTTTTATTTTAATCTATTATGTTAAAAATTGAATGATACAATTTATCTTAAATTTATTTAATAAAATAAAATGTTAATTTTTTATTTCAATTATTTTTTCTTGAAATAATAATTTTAATTCTTTAAATTAGATGTTTAAATTTCAGTGTTATGACACATTTATTAGAAAGTACATGATTTGAAAGCTTAGTGATTGGGATCATACTTTCCACGGCACAATGGCAGAGATGTCATTGTCCCCTTGATTGAATGCAAAAACTTTGGGGATTCATTAACAAAATAGTCATATATATGAGTTGACCTCTAAAATCACTAGGCGGAAATGGCCCTAAATAACATTTGGGCATTCATTTAGTCGATGGTGGATATTTGAAGGCTATGTAAAGCCCATACAAACCTTTTTTGGGTTCTTTGATGAATTCATTTCATAGGCCTAAACTTTGGGTCAAGCAAATACTTTGTTGGTATAATACTTAGGGGCGGTTTGAGAATGCTCGTGGAAGTCATTTTGGTCCAAAATTTAGTTTGAAACGTAAAAGTATTCCCAAACAACTTATTTGCAGTTAAAAGTTTCACCTTTGAAACGTAATTATTGACTTAAATCAAAAAGCTAGAAAAACAATACTTTTGCGTTGAACAAACTCGTATGGAGAAACATTTTCAAACGCTACGAATCACATGACTCACATATGAGGAAGACCACCAGCATAGATGGTGTATGGTTTTCTAATTTGGGTTTTGGAAATTTAACCAAACATTCGGACAAGGAGAGAAATAAAATTGTTTGACGATGACAACGATAAAAAAAAGTTGCTTGATGGTGATGATGATATACGACAATTAGGGTTTATATTTAAGAGAAGGAAAAACAAAGAAATATTTTTGAAAATTGATTGGATTAGATCAAATTATGTCGATAATAAATTTTAAAACGAGTAGAGGAGAGTGCTCTAAATATCAAGATGAATAGAGTAGATTAATTTTTTGGTCAAGATCTAGGCTACTTAAAACTTAACCCATGCTTATCCCTAATGGTAAAGCATTCATATAATCCAACAGATCTGGATTTGAATCTCACAATGTCATGTTTATTTCCTTTGATTTCCACCAATAATATAATCTTTAATAGGAAACACTGTCAACTATCAAGCAAATAAAGGATTTGACTCAATGGTTAGTGCTTTTAATCCCATTCTTCCTCAAGTTTGATCTATTTGTTTCCACTTTGATTTCTTAAATTTTCTTTCAATTAGATGATAACATTAAAATCAAGATTAAATTAATAATTTGTAAAATTAGAAAAAATCAAATGTATAATTATACAATCCATAAATAGGTTTATAACATAAAAATTTATATTTATATTCATAAACACAATTAATAGGCTATTAAAATGGTACCTAAAATTTTTAGGGTAAACTACACGTTTAGTATGCAAGCTATCATTTTTATTCTATTTTAGCACCTAAACTTTAATTTTCTCAAAATTATACCTAATATTTACTTTTTCTTTCATTTTAGTACTCACATTTTAAAATTCAAACATTTTTATGGGTAAATTACATCATTCATCACTTAATTATATTCTCTATCATATTTTGGTCTTTGAATTTTATTTTTTAATTTAATCGCTTAACTTTCAAATTATTCATATTTTAATCACTCTAACTTATTTTATTAATATTTTATATGAGGTTACATCTTTTAATTATTATTTTATTAATATATGATTAAAGTAAAATAAAAAAAAAGGAAGGGAGGAGTTGGAGAGGCTAATAAAAGTGAGGTCGTGAAGGTAAGGTGAGCAGTTTGTGATTTAGGGTTTGAAGTATAATTTTTAGGTTTGGATATATTTTTATTTTTAATTATATAAATATGAAATAATAATAATAATAAAATTCCATGTTATAAAAGTATTAATGAAATAAATTAGAGTGATTAAAACAAGAGCAATTTGAAAGTTGAGTAGTTAAATTGATTTTTTTTTTTAAAATTTTAGTGATCAAAATAAAAGTGAGAAGATAGTTGAGAGGCAAACGATATAATTTATCCATAAAAATGACATGAACATCAATTTAAGTTTTTAACATCGTGTTACTAAAATAAATACAATGTAAATGTTAAATAAATATTTTTAAAATAAAAACTTTGGTACTAAACATGTAACTAACATAAAATTTTATTTTCTAAAATAATTCTCATT